GTTTGGTTTCAAGCTCAAAATAGTAGCTTTCTGTTGACCATGAATATTTAAACTACATTCAAGTTAAATAATCCGTTGTGTCTATTTGGTAGTTTATATATATAAACTACCAAAACAAATGTGTATAACAACAATAGATGTCGTGGCTGTGATTCTAATAATATACACAAACTACCAAAACAATTAGATGATATCAAACAAAAACAGATGTAGCTGGAAAATCTAACAGTATAAAAAAACTACCAAACCAAACAGATAACATAACGATACATAATGTGGTTGAGTAAGAAAGAACATTATGGTAATATAATAATCAGTTGGCAAACAACGATTTATAAGCATAATATAGTGATTTATTTTGGGGGGAACATACTATATGTTTCGACAGAACAAGAAGACAGACCAATGTTCTGTCACAACATGTAATATGTTCTTCCAAAAATAAATCATTTTATTATACTTATAAATCATTGTTTACCAATTTATTATGTATAATGTGACTAGTAATTGTAACAGTATGTAAGCATTGCCAAAACAAATATATAAACTTATACAACAATAAATGAAATGGTATCTGATCCTAACAGTATAGTCATTAACAATAATAAACAATATAACACAACAATAAACTGTGTGACTTATCACAGTACACAGACAGAACTAAACTAATAGATAATACAACACAGCTAAAAATGATGTGACGTGTGATTCTAGCAATACTCAGGATATACGAAAACAAAGACAGAATATAAAATAACAATAGCTGATGTGATTGTAGCAGTATTTTATAAAACTTTTATCAAACATTTAACACTCAGTTCCTTATGTTTGTTTTGTTTTTCTTATAAGAAAATTTCTGTTAGTATTATTTTATACTTCTGTGCAGAGACGAAGATTTATAGAGGGCAGCTGCTTATTTCTAGAGTATCAAAAGTAACTATCATCCAGGAAAATGTGAGAGAATATATATTAAATTACGACCTATAACGTAAAAAATATTATATGAAACTTACCTTATGATTATGTTATAACCATTTCTTATATATAAGATTAAACATTTGCACTAAGAAAAAAAAACATATTATTGCCTGTAATGAATTTGTGTGTGTGTGTGTGTTAATTTATATTTCAGCTAAAACTAGAATATTTAACTCCCAAACTTGGCTTTAATTCCAATTAATAAATGCATCCAACCTTTGTTTCACTGAAAGTTGTACACTGTAGTTTAACAAGGGTGATAATTACCCAGATATAAACTCCTAATTTACTCTTCCTTTCGTTATATTGGTCAGTCATAATAATCTACAGAATTACTCCATTTACTACCAACATACCTCGAGGAATGGCTCAAAGAGACATTTTATTCGTTATTTTACCAGAAGAGAACGCAGCTCAACTTACAGAAAACATTTCAAGACGTGATGTTCCAGTTTAATTTAGTGTAGTGATACTTGGATAAACTTTAGTTTTCTCCAACCGGAACGACAGTAGATTGCGGATGGAACAACAGGAAGTTTGTGATACGTCTATGGCATGCTAAGCTTTAGTTGGTTGACACTGGGCCAAATTGGCCTAGCCTCACTCCATTTGGTCCCCTTCAACCAACTGTAGCTGGCATTCTCGACAGCATAACGTCACGTAGTCTTACCCAATCACTTGTAAGGACCGTTGTAATTTGATCATCTTCAAACAAAAATATGTTCTTTTTTTACTTCGTCCAGATATTTCTTCATAAGTCAACTTGTGATTTACGACCTTTCAAGGATGCCTGATTTTTTTAGAACTATATCTTACACAGAGACATTAACTTGTATTCTAAAGAAAAAGAGCAGAAATGTGAAGAGTATGGCTAGTTAGAACTAAGGGTTATTAAAGTTCTACAATTGTTATGGGAGCAAAGGCATTTTATTACAACCTTATTTGTCGCTTTGATTATTCGGTTAGCTCATTATTTCACTTCAGCGTACAGATTCTTAATTACAAAATGTTATTGCACTATTTGTTATAGTAGTTTGGTTTCAAGCTCAAAATATAGCTTTCTGTTGACCATGAATATTTAAACTACATTCAGGTTAAATAATCTGTTGTGTCTATTTCCGACAGTAATAACACAGCGAGTAACTTTTTTATTACGTACTGTAAATAAAGACAATCGTTCTGAGAGCTATTTTAGTCTAACTAAAAGAAAGAAAATGTATGTGTAACATAATCAAACTCCATGTCGAAGTATGCTACTTCCTTTATTAATAAACGCCAGATTATTTCGTGAAGTCAACAGAATGATATGAAAAGAAGAGGTGGCTGGGTATCGGGAGCCAAGAATATTGCTACATTTTTTACCTGTATGCCATTTTAACTCCGCCATGTGCGCCGGAGAAGATTCGGCATATCGGGCAGCAGTCGAAACAACATTTTATTATAGTAATTGTAGGGCTTTTAAAATTTTAACTTGCACCCAAAAAATGTTTTAGGTAGATAGATAGACTTATAGTAGTGTAGTAGCATGTATATGAATCAGTATAACAATACATAATAAATTACATCTGTCATTTGCAAGTGTACATGCTTGTATCTGCGTGAGTATAAGTGCCAGTGAGCACCTATTTTGTGAATCATAAAGAAGTGCTTACAAATAATTAATTCTTTCAATAAATTATAGTAACATTAACACAAAGTTCAATCTCAGAGCATCTATTTTTCAAACGTTTCCTGGGATGCATGTCCCCAGATCTCCCTAGCGCTTTGCACACTATTTTAAGTTGCCTGACCAATCCCAAATTTCTTCCTCCAACCATGTCCGCTACTTTCAACCAAATATTTTGTGAGATATTAGAACGGAGAATGGAAGATATTATCCATACATAAGTTGTTGATCTTAATTGTACCAAATACTACAAGATCATTATTGTAATAATACCACAGTTCAAGTATCCATTATAGTAAAAATACGTAAGTGTCATAATACAGGTTCATGTATTTAATATTGTAACAATATGTTATACACGAATCACCACTTTAAATATCCAATAGTAGCGAAAGTATTTATCATGAAAATAAAAATATCAACCCAATTTCAAATTTAAATAGTTTCTAAATTAAGGTGTTTTCTGTTATATCACCAACGTTTTTAATGAAAAACAAACCTCTTTAACCAACAGAAATTCTAAATTAGAAAGCAACAAATATTTTTTCAATTTTGTAGTTTATATATTTCATTTTATACTTTCGGCACATAGACTAACATGAATATTAGATTATGCTTCTATTGCTAAGCAACATGACATAAAAGCCATTGTTGGAAAGTATTGTTACTACTTCTTTCAATGTAGCCCCCCAGTGGCACAGCGGTATGTCTGCGGACTTACAACGCTAGAAACCTGGTTTCGATATCCGTGGTGGGCAGAGCGGAGATAGCCCATTGTGTAGCTTTGTGCTTAATTCCAAACAAATAAAATCTTTCAATGTGGTCTTTCGCTAGCCTGCTCATTAAAAAGATGCGCACGCACATTCGTGTCTTGCTGTCTGTCTGTAATTTCTATTTGTAATATAAAGTACCACTTCTTTTCTATGTGGTTTTTTGCTAGCTTGCCTCATTAAAAAAATGCGCGTACGCACATGAATAAGTTAAGTAATAATACCCAGGTGTACACCCTCAGGGTCCGTTTAGCATGGGAGCAAAATTTCAGGTTTTTATGCTCTTTCTTCTTGGAGATATGGCGATCACACACACACAGACACGCCATTTTATTATTATAAATTACAACAATACCCCAGTCTGATACCTCTAGCTCAGATATTCATCGTTGTAGTAATGCATCAGTTTGGTATTACCAGTTAAACTAAACATTGTTGTAATAATACACCAGTTGATATTGCTAGTTTAGGTATTTATTATTGCAGCAATACTTTATTCTGGCATCGTTAGTTCACTATCTCATAAATTTTATAATACGTTAGTCTGGAATCACCAGTTTATGTTTTTCATAATTTACAGTGCATGCTGGAGGTATTTAGACATTTTTTACAATAAAATTAGATAAAACTGCCTTTACCCTACAGATAATTAAAACACTTCTTTAAAAAATAATTCAATCTACGTTTCGCCATTGCGGCTTTTCCACGGTTTGTACAAAAATTTTTCAGAAGATGTAAGAAAGCATGACTAATAATTTTTAAAAAAGAAATACAGACATTAATTGTCCCTCACCCCTTTAATTTTCTTGTAAAAACGTGGATGATAAGCACGCCCGATATATCAATGTAGATGTGTCATAGCGTATCAGGTTGGAGACTATTTATAGACTTGGTAAGTCTGTCAACTCTCGCTTTATTTGCCTAAGGAAGTTTTCGGGAAACCCTTTACAGGAAACGTAATCCGAGAATAGAATGAGTCACGTGGAATGAGCGATGTTATACTTATAATAAATATTGCATGTCAAGAATTGATATCAATTTTACATATAACAAGGAAATTAGAAGACATGTCTTCTAGTATATGCTTTAATTTAATCTTAAGCGTTACAAATTGACTTTGCAGAAAATATTTCAGGATGTATTTCAAATTACAGAAATAACTTAGCTGCAGATCTTCCAGTGATTCACAAATTAGTCTTATGGTTCGCAGAATTATAACAATAATTTTGCAGCAAGTTATTCGGTGGATTTCAAATGCATTTTATGGACAGTTGCAATGTTGTTTTGGAAATAAAAATAAATTGAATAAGTGAACAAATTTTCTTGATCTTATAATGATACTTTGCAGCAAACTGTTACGTTGGATCACGAATTGATTTAGCGTCAGTTGCAATACTTTACTAGTAAATCTGATGTGTTTAAAATTAGTCTCAGGGTCAATTTTAATAACAACTTAGCTAAAGTGTATCCAGGATCGTAGATTGATTTTAGGGTCAGTTACAACAATATTTTAGTATTAAGTGTTCCTGTGAATTGTATATTGATCTTAGAGTGAGCTTACAACAATATTTTAACTGTAAATATTCCTGTGTATCGTATGTTGATTGCAGGGTTAGTTACAACAATATTTTAGTATTAAGTGTTCCTGTGAATTGTATATTGATCTTAGAGTGAGCTTACAACAATATTTTAACTGTAAATATTCCTGTGTATCGTATGTTGATTGCAGGGTTAGTTACAATAATATTTTAATAACAAATATTAAGATGCATCGTAGATTGATTGTAGGATCAACTACAACAATATTTTAATAACAAATGTTAAGTGGATCATAAATTGATTGTAGGGTCAACTACAACAATATTTTAATAACAAATGTTAAGTGGATCATAAATTGATTGTAGGGTCAACTACAACAATATTTTAATAACAAATGTTAATATGCATCGCAGATTGATTGTAGGGTCAACTACAACAATATTTTAATAACAAATGTTAATATGCATCGCAGATTGATTGTAGGGTCAACTACAACAATATTTTAATAACAAATGTTAGTATGCATCGCAGATTGATTGTAGGAGCAACTACAACAATATTTTAATAGCAAATGTTAATATGCATCGCAGATTGATTGTAGGAGCAACTACAACAATATTTTAATAGCAAATGTTAAGTGGATCATAAATTGATTTTAGAGATAGTTACAGCAATATTTCAATAGTAAATGCTCCCGATGATCGTAGATTAAGCTTAGAGTAAATTACAACAATATTTTAGTAGTAAATGTTCCGGTGGATATCAAATTAGTATTAGAATCAATTACATTTTGTTGCAAATTTTCCAGTAACACAAGTTAATTTTAAGACCACTTAAAGCAAGGACATAGCAGAAACCTGTCATTGCAATCTGTTAGGCTTACAGTGTTGAAAGATTTTAGCGGCCATTTATACAATATAATATGATATGCTTGAAATATATGTTAGTAAGTGTACAAAAGTAAAAAAAAACACGCAAATTTCATCTGTTTAAAACGTCTGTTAGTCTCTCCAGAATTTACATCACACTACAAGATATCATAAAATGATGATAGAAATAATTTAAACCAATTATTAAAGAACGTTCATGCTAGAAGGAAACAAAAGTTCAAGTCAACAATTAAAATTTGTTGGTTTTAATCCATTATGGGGCTACAGATTTGTATTGAAATTCTTAAGTAACTCTGACGCGATAACGTTCTAAAGATGTTGCGCTGACAACAGTAACAATATTCGTTTTACCTTTGCATTTCAGCCAAGCTAAGCAAATATTCGCAAAGCAGAGATATTTAAATCAGATCATGATTTGTCATATGACCAAATTAATGAAGACACTTACAGTTTCTTTAGAAGGTTGAATAGTTTAATGTCCTTCTTGAGCATACGTTCTTTGAGGAAATTACTTATTTAAGTAAGTTCTTTAACTCAACCACGCTTCATCGTGTACTCAGCTCCTGAAAGTTGTAACCTGTACGATCTGACGACGAGCGCTGGCTCGAAACGTCATCCCTTTAAAATAATAATAAAAAAACTTTACGATTTTAAACTTATTCTTTAATTTCAATATTTTTGTCACC